CCCTCAGCTCCCCAGGGCACCCCAGCAGCCAGCCCCCCAGGGAACCCCCAATCATCCCCAACCCCCCAGGGCAACCCCGGCAGCTAGCCCCATGCACCCCAGCAGCCCCCAGGGCACCCCCAGCAGCCAGCCCCCCAGGGCACCTCCCAATCAGCCTGCAGCACCCCTCCCTACCCCAGCCAGCCCCTCACCTTTCCCCACCTCACCGCACCCCAATCATCCCCCCGCGGCACCTGGATACAGGTGAGTACACAAGGGGGAGAGGGTCGGGAGTACACATGGTGTGGGGGATGGGGGGTACATACTGCCACCTGGCAGAGGGATGGGGGGAGGGGTCCGGAGGGTTCACATGGGGCAGGGGGACGCAGAGGGTAAATGGGGGGTACACATGGTGGGGTTACACACAGGGTGGGGGGTACGTGGGGTGCACACGGGGGTTCGTGGAGGGCACACAGAGGGACACGTGGAGGGCACACAGGGGGCACGGGAGGGAGTTACTCACGCTGCCGCCCGGCACCCCGGTGCGGTCCCACACCAGGGTGAGTTCGCTGCTCTGCCCAGTGCCCGAGCTGTTGAGATGCCCCTCGACCTGCACCAGGTATTTGTTGCCGCGCTCGGGGCTGCCGAAGAGCCGCTGGGTGCCCGGGCGCTGCAGGGGGCGCGTCTCCTTCTCCTGCTGCACGGCCCAGCGCCCCACCTCCTCCTGCCACGGGCCGGGGGTCAGGGGAAGCCAGAGCCCCCCGCTGCCCCCCTGCCCCACTGCCCCCTGCCCCACAGCGCCCCACCTCCTCCTGCCACGGGCCGGGGGTCAGGGGGAGCCAGAGCTCCCTGCCGACCCCCCTGCCCCACAGCGCCCCACCTCCTCCTGCCACGGGCCGGGGGTCACGGGGAGCCAGAGCTCCCTGCTGACCTGCTGCCCCACAGTGCCCCACCTCCTCCTGCCACAGGCCGGGGGTCAGGGGAAGCCAGAGCCCCCCGCTGCCCCACTGCCCCCTGCCCCACAGCGCCCCACCTCCTCCTGCCACGGGCTGGGGGTCAGGGAGAGCCAGAGCCCCCTGCTGACCTCCCCACCCCACAGCACCCACAGCTGACCCCACCCTGCTCCCTGGCACAGACCCCATGTCACCGCGTTGGGGCAGCCCCGATGGCCCCGGCTCCCCCCTTACCAGCTCGGGGGCGTTGGGGGCACGGCCCAGCTTGGCGACCACGTGGAGGCGCTGCACACGGGCCCAGACGGAGATGTGGGGGGCGGGAGGGGGCCCGGCCAGCAGCGGGTAGATGAAGCCCTTGTAGACCAGGGAGACGTCCATCTCCGAGCTGGGGCTCAGCGTGATGGTCGTGCTGCGGACGATGGACACCTGGGGGGACACCGGGGTCAGCCTGCTGCAGCCCCCACCCCCCCGCCAGTGCTGCGAGCTTCCCCCGGCAGTGCCCCTGCACCCCGTGCCCGAGCTGCCCCTCTCGCGCTGGTGTTGTGAGCTTTCCCCAGCAGTGCCCCGTCACCCCCCCCTCGGGGGACCTGGCGCCCGAGCTGCCCCCCCAGCAGCGCGCCCCTTCCCCCCCGGGGACCTGGTGC